AGCTCTTGTTCGTCCTCAATTAAACCACATTATCGGAGTCTGTTTACACTCCGGTCTCACATAAAACACGTTAACAACACCTTATCAAGAGATAGTTTGATTACTCCGATCTAAAGCGAACTAAAGGAGTAATTATTCCCCAGTTGTATTTTCCCATCAAGACGCGACAACTGTGAGCCCTTGACCTCACCTGTGATGTATTGCCTCACAACTACGGGTTCAAGGTTCATATCAATCCCTTGTTGTCCAAGTATGTACACCTGTTTACATATTCCCAGATATAAAGATTTTGATTCACTACTAAGAAAAATATAAAATATAAGGTAATGTAAGTTTATCAGTGGAAATGCTAAGAAATCATTTAACATCCTCAGTCACCGTTATTTTATCTTAGCGTTGAGAAGAAATGATAAATAAATGTTATGTTATATATATATATATATATATATATATATATATATATATATATATATATATATATATATATATATATATATATAAACTCTATCTCTGTATTAAGAACCATTGGTCCTTTTAAGCTAAACAGTTACCAGTTTATCCAAGGCAACACTAGGAATTTGCCAAACACCATAAAATATCACTGGCATACCAACGACAATACTAAAAAAATCTCTACAACTAAAACTAAATACCATGTTACCACAGATACTGATAAAAACACAAATTGCACCTTAACTAAATACCATTCGATACGAGACATAAAAAACAGCGTTGCGTCATGACTAAATACCGATTAATCCGAGACCACTACAGTCACCACAACACCACCATTAACCTCACTAATTTCATTCATCACCAGCAAACTTGAATTCAATCTTAACTTTAGACTACTTTAACCCTGGGAAGAGGAGGGGAGTGGATTGGGGGTGTGGGATACGGTGTAGGGGGATGAGAGTGTTGGGAGGGGTTAGGGGAAATGGGAGTACGCGTTCTTCGTCGACCAAGGAGAATCGCCCTATCGCCTCTCTCCTACCATTGGTTGGTATTTTTAAGTGGTTGTTATTGCTTAAATAGAGGGAGTTAATCTCTCGCGAGACGTCTGGGGATTGGGTCTTATATTCCCCGTTAGGTACACCTGGAAAAATGCCTGTGTCACTAGATACCTGTCTGAGTCATTAGACGCTTAGGGTGTTTCATTTCTTCTCCATAAAATAATTGTCATGTCTCCTAAGAGATGGCTGAGGTTTCCTCTCGTTAGATAAAGGGGTCTCTCATGTCTCTGTTGATGCCTATACTATATCCCCCAATCTCTTGCCAGGTGCAGTCTTTTTAATTCTGCCATTGACACAAGACCATATATTTAATGATAATTCAACGGATCTGGAGTCTTTTAAATCTCATACTTTTGAGAGATGTTCATATCTCTCTCGACGCCCTGGTCTCTTAACAAGAGTGGACGTCCTGAGAGACAGTAAACAAACAAGGCCGACCACGTGTGTTTTTGTTTACCCAATATTAAAGTGTAAACCCAAACAGGATGCTCAGTAGGTGCTCCTGGTTGAGATGACCTTACACGGTAAATTAAAAGATGCTGGTTGATGTGTACAGTATACCTGATGTTGATGTATTAATGAGTTTCAACAATTAAAGCCTTTCAGTGTCTATAGAAGTTAGTTCATACATTAGGTATCAACAATGAAGAATAAAGAGACAAATTTATCATCCTGGTACATCACTTAACATTCGTTCAGGACGTAGACTATTATGGAATGTCCCGGATTATTGGCGTCATAACCCTGGCAGATGAAGCACTAAAAACTAACTAAACCCAGAGTATAGTGTTTGATAACCTTGGTAGTTGAAGCACCTACGAACAACATAAAACCGACAGATTTTATTTTTCTTCTCAATTGTAGAAACCAGGAAGTAGATGAAATGTGAAAATAACAATAATAAATGAATAAGTTAAAGATAACAGCAAAAACATAATATAATCTCTGTTGTATTGTAAAAACTCATAATTATTCATATTAAATATTTACAGTTTCTTGTTCATAAACAGGAGACATTTGATCGCCTCCATAAAGGTGTACAGAGTGAGTTGATTACCGCGGTGAAAATAGACTTGGGGTTTTCCTTGTGCTAGAGTTTAATCCTTGGAGTACGGTGCCAACCCCATGAGTACGATGCCAACCCCATGAGTACGATGCCAACCCCATGAGTACGATGCCAACCCCATGAGTACGATGCCAACCCCATGATTACGAAGGCAGCCCCTAGAGTACGATGCCAACCCCATGATTACGAGACCAACCCCTTGAGTAAGGTGACTTAACCCCTTGAGTTCGTTGACTTAACCCCTTGAGTTCGTTGACTTAACCCCTTGAGTACGATGCTAACCCCCTTGAGTGCGATGCCAACCCCCTGAGTGCGATGCCAACCCCCTGAGTGCGATGCCAACCCCCTGAGTGCGATGCCAACCCCCTGAGTGCGATGCCAACCCTGAGTGCGATGCCAACCCCTGAGTGATGCCAACCCCCTGAGTGCGATGCCAACCCCTGAGTGCGATGCCAACCCTGAGTGCGATGCCAACCCCTGAGTGCGATGCCAACCCTGAGTGCGATGCCAACCCCCTGAGTGCGATGCCAACCCCCGGAGTGATGCCAACCCCTGAGTGCGATGCCAACCCCTGAGTGCGATGCCAACCCCTGAGGCGATGCCAACCCCTGAGTGATGCCAACCCCTGAGTGCGATGCCAACCCTGAGTGCGATGCCAACCCCTGAGTGCGATGCCAACCCCTGAGGCGATGTAACCCCTGAGTGCGATGCCAACCCCTGGAGGCGATGCCAACCCCTGAGTGCGATGCTAACCCCTGAGTGCGATGCCAACCCCTGAGTGCGGATGCCAACCCCTGAGTGATGCCAACCCCTGAGTGCGATGCTAACCCCTGAGTGCGATGCCAACCCTGAGTGCGATGCTAACCCCTGAGTGCGATGCCAACCCCTGAGTGCGATGCCAACCCTGAGGCGATGCCAACCCCTGAGTGCGATGCTAACCCCTGAGTGCGATGCTAACCCCTGAGTGCGATGCCAACCCCTGAGTGCGATGCCAACCCCTGAGTGCGATGCCAACCCCTGAGTGCGATGCCAACCCCTGAGTGCGATGCCAACCCCTGAGTGATGCCAACCCCTGAGTGATGCCAACCCCTGAGTGCGATGCCAACCCCTGAGTGCGATGCCAACCCCTGAGTGCGATGCCAACCCCTGAGGCGATGCCAACCCCTGAGTGCGATGCCAACCCCTGAGTGCGATGCCAACCCCCTGAGTGCGATGCCACCCCCTGAGTGCGATGCCAACCCTGAGTGCGATGCCAACCCCTGAGTGCGCGATGCCAACCCCTGAGTGCGATGCCAACCCTGGAGTGCGATGCCAACCCTGAGTGCGATGCCAACCCCTGAGTGCGATGCCAACCCCTGAGTGCGATGCCAACCCCTGAGTGATGCCAACTGAGTGCGATGCCAACCCCTGAGTGCGATGCCAACCCCGAGTGCGATGCCAACCCCCGAGTGCGATGCCAACCCCGAGTGCGATGCCAACCCCCGAGTGCGATGCCAACCCCGGTGCGATGCCAACCCCCGAGGGATGCCAACCCTGAGTGCGATGCCAACCCCGAGTGATGCCAACCCCCGAGTGCGATGCCAACCCCCGAGTGCGATGCCAACCCCTGGAGGTGATGCCAACCCCGAGTGCGATGCCAACCCCGAGTGGATGCCAACCCCCGAGTGCGATGCCAACCCCGAGTGCGATGCCAACCCCCGAGTGCGATGCAACCCCCGAGTGCTGATGCCAACCCCCGAGTGCGATGAACCCCCGAGCGGGCAACCCGAGTATGAACCGGACGAGTGGTGCCAACCCCGAGTGCGTGGGCGCAACCCCCGAGTGCGGTGGCAACCCCGAGTACGGTGGCAACCCCGAGTACGGTGGTAACCTCGAGTATGGTGGCAACCCCTCGAGTACGGTGGCAACCTCGAGTACGGTGGCAACCGGTGGTAACCCTCGAGTAGGGTGGCAACCTCTATGGGTGCCAACCCCTCGAGTTTGATAACTAACCCTCGAGTGCGATACTCAACCCTATGAGTGCGATATCAACCCTTGAGTGCGATACCAAACTTTGGGCACGAAACCAACCCTTGGGTGCACGAAACCAACCCTTGAATACGATACCAACCCTCGAGTACGATGCCAACCCTCGAGTACGATGCCAACCCTCGAGTACGGTGACTTACTCCCTTGAGAACGTTGTCTTCAACCCTTGAGTACGGTGACTTAACCCTGAGTACGGTGACTTAACCTCGAGTACGGGTGACTTAACCTCGAGTACGGTGACTTAACCCCTCGGAGTACGGTGACTTAACCCTCGAGTACGGTGACTTAACCTCGAGTACGGTGACTTAACCCTCGAGTACGGTGATCTTAACCTCGAGTACGGTGACTTAACCTCGAGTACGGTGACTTAACCCTCGAGTACGGTGACTTAACCCTCGAGTACGGTGACAACCCTGAGTACGGTGACTTAACCCTTGAGTCGGTGACTTAACCCTCGAGTACGGTGTGACTTAACCTCGAGTACGGTGACTTAACCCTTGAGGGAATAAATCATATAGTATTAAGGAATTATCATGGTAATCACAGGGTTAAGTTATCGTTATCGACCCACGGGGGAGTCTCTCAGCTGAATAAAATCGTCTGGCGTTGAGAGACAAAGGAGATATAGTTATTGGTTCAGGTGATAGTGCTACAACTTCATCAACCTGTACTGAAACTCTTAATTGTTAGGTGGTCGACAGCTCAACTCATCTGTGTGGTGAAGATGAGTGTAGGAGTGTGTGAAAGAGCTTTTTACACTACATGCTCAGTGGGTTTATTCATTACATTCAGGGTGATGGTCATATACTCAAAGGTTTAATTTCACATTTTATTAAGCACGCCCCCTCCCAAAAAAGTGACTGACAGAAACTTACAAAAACTAAAATATTCGTTTACAAAGATGACATTGAATTTAGCGCGTACATAATTCTGTAAAATGCCAATTAAGTATTACATTTAGTATTGGTTGTAATACATTCTGGTTATCACTATGAACATTAGAATAACTAAGACACGTGAATGGATCATATGAAGACTCACCTATATTAATGTGTGTCCTTTCTCAGGGTGAAATTCTCTCGGCATCTTAACATCCATGGCTGAATGTACACGTTGTTCATGAGATGAGTAGTAATATTACTTCATTTGTGTCTTCTTCAAGGCCTGGACAAGACACCAAGGCTCCAGAGAAACACGTGGATGTCTTAGGCAATACTGAAGCTGTTGTTACTTTACGGGTGAAATTAGCATACTGTAAGATGCTGTAGTGTTGTACCTCCGTTTGTAAAAAAAAAAATAATTTAATAATTACAAAAATATTAATGATGATGATGATGATTGTTTCTATATATGCTATACGCACTTGGGAGATATTATGAAACAGGTACACCTTCACTCGTCTTCACAGGTGACAATATATAATTAACTCAGCCTTACCTGTCTCTATTCTGCACTTAAGAAGCTCGATGATCCATGACTCGGGCCAAGGGTGTGTGTGTGTGTGTGTGTGTGTGTGTGTGTGAGTTTGTGTGTGTGTGTGTGTGTGTGTGTGTGTGTGTGTGTGTGTAGGTGTGTGTGTGCAGATACATACACACACAGGCAGGTACACTTGACTGATATATACAACACACTTGGGTGTAGCCACATAGAGTACCTGTAGATAGTCAGGGGATACGTGTCTGACTCATTCCCTGTCACCTTCCTTTAACACTAGACGTACAAACACCAATGCAGGTCGGTATCCCCTTCCTTCCTTCCTTCCTTCCTTCCTTCCTCTCATTCTTCCTTCCTTCCTTCCTTCCTTCCTTCCTTCCTTCCTTCCTTCCTTCCTCCTCCCTCCCTCCCTCCCTCCCTCTCTATTCTTTTCCTCTTCTCATTCTTCCCTCTTCGTGCAACAACTTGTGTATAGGGAGGGGAGGGGCCCTCTTGTTTTTGTTTACTGTGTCCTGTAGACTCTTCCTCATTCTTGAAGCTCGGTTGCATTGGAGGCAGAGGAGAGCAGGAACTGTCCATCCCCAACGTCAACAACACGGTGATCACTGGTGTGTCTCACGTCGACACCAGTGCCCCATACCTCTCTTCAACCACTACCAGTATATAATATACCACTACCACCACCACATCCACAAAAACGACGACCACCAGTACAGATCACCATATTCACCACAACCCGCCCCACACCGCCGCCGCCCACCACCCACACCACATCCCACCCACCGCCACATAATTGCACTCTACCTTTACTACCACCTTTAACACCAGACCAGGCCAGGTTGATCCCGCACCAGCAGCGACACACAGAGACAAAGGACACTCATTTATCAGGGGAGGCAGGGAAAGAAGTGGTCAGAGCAATTCGGCACTATGACTGTCAACCGCCGCCCCCACTACCTGCACACCTGGGCGTAACTACCTTCCTGACACCACCTGGACATGTCTTTTTAACATGTTAATTTATCATTCTATATCAACCTGAATTTATCTGCCTCTCTTAGCACCACTTGGGCGTATATTTACTTGTTCAACACCACCTGGGCGTATGTGTACTTGTTCAACACCATCTGGGCGTATGTGTACTTGTTCAACACCATCTGGGCGTATGTGTACTTGTTTAACACCACCTGGGCGTATGTGTACTTGTTCAACACCATCTGGGCGAATATGTACTTGTTTAACACCATCTGGGCGTATGTGTACTTGTTTAACACCACCTGGGCGAATATGTACTTGTTTAACACCACCTAGGCGAATATGTACTTGTTTAACACCACCTGGGCGAATATGTACTTGTTTAACACCACCTGGGAGTATATGTACTTGTTTAACACCACCTGGGCGAATATGTACTTGTTTATCACCACCTGGGCGAATATGTACTTGTTTATCACCACCTGGGCGAATATGTACTTGTTTAACACCTCACCTGGGCGTATATTTATTTTAATTCAACACCATCTGGGCGTATGTGTACTTTGCTTTAACAATTACCTGGGCGTAAAAGTGTACTTGTTTAACACCACCCAAGGAATATGTGTACTTGCTTTTTTAACACCACCCGCGAATAATATACTTGTTTAATACCACCTGGGAGAGTATGTACTTGCTTAACACCACCTGGGCGAATATGTACTCTGTTTTTATCACCACCTGCTGGAATATACTTGTTTAAACAATTCTTCCTGAGAGAGGTACTGTTTAACACCACCTGCGAATATAAAATTTGTTTAACACCACCCAAGGCATATGTAATTGTTTAACACCACCTGGGCGTATATGTACTTGTTTAACACCACCTGGGAGTATATGTACCTGTTTAACACCACTTTGGGCGAATATGTACTTGTTTAACACGACCTGGGCATATATGTACTCTGTTTAACAATCACCTGGGCGCATATGTACTTTGTTTAACACCGCCTGGGCGTATATGTACTTGCTTAACACCACCTGGGATTATATGTACTTGTTTAACACCACCCAAGGAATATCAATATGTACTTGTTTAACACCCTCACCTGGGCGAATATGTACTTTGCTTAACAATTACCTGGGCGTATATGTACTTGTTTAACACCACCTGGGCGTATATGTACTTGTTTAACACCACCTGGGCGTATATGTACTTGTTTAACACCACCTGGGAATATATGTACTTGTTTAACACCACCTGGGCGTATATGTACTTGTTTAACACCACCTGGGCGTATATGTACTTGTTTAACACCACCTGGGCGTATATGTACTTGTTTAACACCACCTGGGCGTATATGTACTTGTTTAACACCACCTTGGCGTATATGTACTTGTTTAACACCACCTGGGCGAATATGTACTTGTTTAACACCACCTGGGCGTATATGTGCTTGTTTAACACCACCTGGGCGAATATGTACTTGTTTAACACCACCTGGGCGAATATGTACTTGTTTAACACCACCTGGGCGTATATGTACTTGTTTAACACCACCTAAGGATATGCATTTGCTTATCACCACACCCAAGGAATATGTACTTGTTTATCACCACCTAAGGAAATATGTACTTGTTTAACACCAATTCAAGTAATTATGTACTTGTTTAACACCACCTGGGCGTATATGTGCTTGTTTAACACCACCTGGGCGAATATGTACTTGTTTAACACCACCTGGGCGAATATGTACTTGTTTAACACCACCTGGGCGTATATGTACTTGTTTAACACCACCTGGGCGTATTGATCTTTCATATACCTCATGGACTTTATCAGCTACTTGTTTTGCTCTGTTTTATTCTGGACAACAATTTTGTATATCTGTAAAATCTCCAGCACTTCGTCTGGTTCGAGTTGATGCCGTAGACTTAATCTTCGTGCGTCTGTAACCACTATATTGTACAGGGCGGCAAGTGAAGAGTCTCAGCATGGTGTAGATATTGTCCTTGGTTCTTGCCTTATCGTCGGGTGTTGTTTTTGTGCAATGAATTACAACAGCGTATAAGGTCGTTCTTTGTGTTGGGTTACTGCTGGTATGTGGCTGTACCAGCTAAGGTTATAAAACATGTATGCGTGTGTCTGTTGACTAAGATTATTATTAATTTTCTCAAGATTATAGTGTATTTAGTGATGATGATGCTATTGGCATATACTGTTTGATTTTGAGGATGAAACTAGTTCTTGAAAAAACAAAACGCGTAAAGAGTGTTGTTCTGTCAGATCCTCTTGAGAGACTCAGCTCTGTGTCTATTGATTAACTCGTGTGTTTACCGAAACTCTCCAGGAAAATTCTTCAGGATAAAAAAGAAACGGGGGTGATGGATATTGTCATTAAACTCTTGTATTTGATGTTGTACATTTATATAGGTTAATGAGGAGCTTGTGTAAATTTTACGTCAAGAAGAGTGTGTTATCGTCCGCCGTGAGTAGGTCCCTGTATGTTAAGTGTTGCCATGAGTTTACAGTTTTACTTATTTACATTTTCATACTTAACATCTAATCATTCTAATGTGTTTGTGACGTAGAAGGTGCTATTTAATCCCTTCTGTCAGTTAGTTATTGGGGACGAAGTATATGATTTTTGAGGCAAACTAATTTTCACACTGGAACTTGGTACCGGATCTGAATTTTCAAGACAAAACTGTAAGTTGGTCATATTAAGGTAGGTTTTGTTTGGAGAAAGTTGAGTTAAGTAAGGTTATGATAGAAGTTGGTTAAGTTTGGGGTAGGTTAGGTTATTTTACGTTGTATAATGGTAGGAAAAGATGCAGGATAGGTTTTTTTCTGCTAGATTTTGGGTCTGGATTTAGTGAGCCTCTATGATTTCTTTTCAATTAAGGTATTGACACTGAGGGTAACTAAGAATTTCTCTGCCAAACTATTTTGCTCCTCCGTACACAACCGACTCCTGTATATCAATAGCTTGTGTACTCGATGATCTGCTTCACATTGTAGAAAACTTGTTACCCCACGTAAGCTCATTCACAAGCACTTTCCGTCCCCGCAGTACGACGCCTGTGCCGACGCCTCTGTCAACGTCACCTCATATTCCGGCTGTCCTTGAAGACTTGCATCACGTGTACCGATACTGACACAGTTTACTGGGAAGGGAGGTTTAATGCCAAGGGAAAACTGTTCTGATAACAGGAAAACGGAGACAAGAACTAGGAGTAGCTACGGTATGATTAATAACAGGATTTGATTCGACAACAGAACTCTCTGATGAAGAAACATGAGGAGACTTCAGGTGGATTAACAGGATAAGACGTCGAGGCAATAACAGGGTGATAACAACAGAAGCTGGGTTAACGGAAAGGAAACTTAGCTGTTAAAATGTCAGCAACAGTCTAGAACGCCAACAGTAAGAACGCCATCGTGATTTAAGAACAACAAAACACTAGCAGTAAAAGTCAGAGTCAACAGTAACAAAAGCAATAACAGCCGCGGTGGTGGCGGCCAACAGCAGTGGGCGACGTCCACTTGTCTGACAACTTTCACCGCGCTCCACCAAGGTCGCTATCTGTACCACCTGTGTTCCGACCTCAGCAATGATAATCCTCGCTCCTCCTCCGTCTTGCCTCACCCCTATACTCGTACATCCTGACTCATTACTCATCCTGACTCACTCTCATTCTTTTTTTCTTTATTCTTAGTATTCCCTCTTCACTCCTTCCTCACATTACTCCAAACCCATTTTTCCTAACTCTTAATCAGCCACATTCACATTCTTCACTCCCCTTACGTAGTTTAAGCTCTCCAGTCATTTACCACAACATAAGTAAAAAAAAGATTTATCCTCATTATTTTTAAGTTTACTTCTACTCTATTATTAAGTTACATACAAACTTACCAGGTAGAGTACATAAAAACTTTTCGGTAGACTCTGGTACAATTTGCTTTGACGTGATATCAATTGTTATTAAAAGATTTTAAATGTCAAACTGTGAATCATCAGTCCCATCAGCTTTGCATCGTTGAATATGGATCGCCTGTATCAACGTGGCCAAGGTCGTAGTAGATGAAGGTCCGTCCGTTCCCCCGTTTAGGCATCCTGTGAACGTGATAACTTGAAAAGAGAGAGAAGTACTTTGATGAAACTTGCCTCTTATGTTTGTCTGAGTTCTGGCCCGTATTGTCTCCATGGCAACAAGGGAAGATGTTGAGACTTGTGGTCAACTTGCTATATATAGAAGCTACCTGAGAGTCGTATATCATTAACACTGTCTCGTCTGTTTATTGTAATTTACACAACCTTGCTAGCTGTACTGGTTAATTAAGCCAGAGTCCTAATCGGCCCCCAACAGAATATTATTATTAGGATTGGGGATTAGGCTTAATGAATCCTAGGTCGTAATAGGCTCCAATCCTAATGGTGAGGTTGAGTCGATTGAATGCCTACGTGACCTGTGTAGTGTATAGATAAACGACCTATTAAACTCCTCGTTATTGTTTACTCATGTTACAGGTTCGTGGACACTTATTCACACTGGCTCTTTTATTCGCCTTTAATCCAATCTTATCTTAATGGTTTTATTTTTGTTTACTCTTGCCTTACCTTGCCTTCCCTCACCTTACCTTGCCTCACCTTACCTTGCCTCACCTTACCTTCCCTCACCTTGCCTCACCTTACCTTCCCTCACCTTACCTTGCCTCACCTTACCTTCCCTCACCTTGCCTCACCTTACCTTCCCTCACCTTACCTTGCCTCACCTTACCTTCCCTCACCTTGCCTTACCTTGCCACCTTACCTTACCTGCCTCACCTTGCCTTGCCTCACCTTACCTCACCTTACCTCACCTTACTTCACCTTGCCTCACCTAACCTTGCCTCACCTTGCCTCACCTTACCTTACTTCACCTTCCCTCACCTTGCCTCACCTCACCTTACTTCACCTTGTCTCGTACGATCTGTCACTTTCACTCTTTCGGACTTGCTCCTCCCTTAATGACCTCCCTCTCGCTATTTCAATCTCACTGACTTTTGACTTTTGTTAACCCTTCCTCATTCTTTCTCTTTCAGTCTTCCTTTCTCACATATAATTCACTTGCTCATTTTTCTCCACCTCGTAACTTTCAATGACACACACACACACACCAAGAAAACAATACAAGATAAATATCCTCTATTACAACATAATCTTAATTTGTTCTATACTACTACTACTCGCCGAAGCTAGGATTGTATTAGTCTTAGCGTAGATGAAATTATTAAGCAAGGCAGAAATTTCGTCACGACAGGTTTTGCTAGTTTGACCTCTGGTTCCATACCCGCCATAGAAAGCGTGTTTCAAGGTTGGCGGGTGGGCTCTAACGGAAAGCAAATATAACTAGATTAAATTGCAGAAAATATTGTCAAAAATTTATCATATAGTCTCATATTTAGTACCTGGATAAATTACACTGGTAATTTTTTAGGCCATCTTGACTCATATTTATTTTTTTAGTACTTTCGTGGGTCTTATTTGCTTATTGTCATTCTGATATTTATTAATTTTTTGTCATAAGTGGGTCGTGTTTTCATATATATTGGTAGATTTAACCAATTTGGTTCTGTATTTTTCGATTTAAATTTGAGTACACCGTAAAAAAAAGTGACGATTCAAGACAAGAGGTAAAACTGGAGAAACTGTGTGTGTGTGTGTGTGTGTGTGTGTGTGTGTGTGTGTGTGTGTGTGTGTGTGTGTGTGTGTACCCCTACGCGTGTCTGGTGTGTTAGGAGCCAACGAGGTTTATTATTGATAGACTAAACACCTTTAACTCTGGTATTAATAAGACCAGGTATATACATCATTAATTAAGCTCAGGTATATACATTTTTATGCTCAGATATTGTTGATATCTGAGCATAAGAGTATATACCTGAGCTAAATTAAGGATGTATATACCTTAATTAAGCTCAGGTATATACACTTTTATGCTCAGGTAATATGCACTTTTAAGGTTAGGACGCTTATGATCAGGTATTTATATTTAAGCTCTGGTATACAGGATAAATATGCTTTTAAGCTCGGATATATACAGTACACTTAACCTCAGGTATATACACTTGACCTCGGGTATATACACTTAACCTCAGGTATATACACTTAACCTCAGGTATATACACATAACCTCAGGTATATACACATAACCGCAGGTATATACACTTAACCTCAGGTATATACACTTAACCTCAGGTATATACACTTAACCTCAGGTATATACACTTAAGCTCAGGTATATACACTTAAGCTCGGTCTGTTTTAGAGTACCGACTTTTTGGCTGAGGTGAAGATAAACTCATTTGGAAGCGTATTTTTTACCCCGTAATCCTGCTCATGCGAAGAAGTCAGGCTTGTGTCTTCAATGGGAGCGATTATTCGTGGTTGACCTTTATATTGCTGGAGTGCAGGTCTTCAGGTCGTGGTAACATGGGGCTGGTAGGATGGTTCGTCGGGGTTGGTAGGATGGTTCGTAGGGGTTGGTAGGATGGTTCGTCGGGGTTGGTAGAATGGTTCGTAGGGGTTGGTAGGTTGGTTCGTCGGGGTTGGTAGGTTGGTTCGTCGGGGTTGGAAGGTTGGTTCGTCGGGGTTGGTAGGTTGGTTCGTCGGGGTTGGTAGGTTGGTTCGTCGGGGTTGGTAGGATGGTTCGTCGGGGTTGGTAGGTTGGTTGGTAGGGATTGGTAAGATGGTGGGTAAGGGATGGTACGATGGTGATAGGGGCTGGTAGGATGGTGGTAGACAGTCATGGTGGTTGGCAGGATGGCAGGGTGTTGATGTATGATGTTAACTGCTGGCAGGTGTTGTCAGGGGCTGGCGAAGAGGTGGCAGGGTGGCTGGTTTGAGAAATTAACCTACCTGATGCTAAAAGGTCAAGAACCATAGGTAGGTAGAAGGTCTCAATGATAGAAAACCATACTTTACTATCACCCAATGTTATCTAACACCCCGTCAAGTGGACCCAGTGACTTGACGTAGAGATTAGGCCGGGCTTGACGGGGGTGAGGTGGTAGAGGGATTGGATAAAAGTTCAGACGTTCATTACATAGTAAAGTTCAAGGTTTTTTTTTTCTTTTCTCTACATAGGTGAAGTTCAAACGTTCTCAGCCTCGCTTAAATAATCTGTTCTACGCATTGATTACTCAAAGACTTCTCACAACAGAGAGCAACCAAGCCATGTAGAGATGTGGACGCCCTTTTTTATTTATTATTTTTATTTTTAAAACTGGGATGGTGTAAGTACAGGTACAGTTACATAAATACAAATTCAGTTGCAGGTTTACGTGCACGCATTACCAGTTACAGTACAGGTACCCAACTACAAATACAGAACGTTTCAGGTACTGTACTGTGCTGTAAAGGTATCGGTAGAAAAATAAAAGTTAATTACAATAATTAGTAAATTTGCAGTTATAAAAGTACACACCAGAGTACAGTTAAAATTACAGGTGCTGTACATGTTTAAACCCAAAATACAAACGAGTACAAGTAAAGTTTCGGACACGGTGCTAATACAAGTACAAATACAGATACCGGTACAGATACATTTAAAGGTAACAGTACAATTGCAGGTAGATACAGGTACAAATACACCTAAGTCTAATATTAGGGTGGGAGAGGGAGGGAAGGAGGCAGGGAGCAGCTAAGTTGCCTTGCTCTTCCGTGGTAATGTTCTGACGGACCACTGGGCAGACTCTCACACACTTGGTCTTCCTATACACACACATCCCGAAGGGGCACCGCCACTTACTTCCTGGTGCATGTAATCACTACTCCAGGATGTGTGTTGTAAAGAGTGGCAGGGTAGTGGTAGACGGTGATAGGGTAGTGGTAGATGGTGATGTGGTAGTGTGGGGCGGGGTAGTGGTAGAAGTTGGCAGGGTAGTGGTAAAGGCTGGCAGGGTAGTGGTAGAGGCTGGCAGGGTAGTGGTAGAGGTTGGCAGGGTAGTGGTAGAGGGTGGCAGGGTAGAGGTTGGCAGGGTAATGTCCGCGGTGGATGTTTTTCTCAAGCAGAGCGGTGTTGGTAGTTAACAGTAAGTGGTTAACGTTGATGTTACGTATGTGCAGTATATATTATCCTTGGGGAGTAATGTCAGGTATTTAAATGACTCCGTTTTTTACTGATGGCAGTAAAACGAGAGAGAGAGAGAGAGAGGGAGGGGAGAGAGAGAGAGAGATTTTTTTCTCAATAACATCTTTAAAAGCAATAAAGGCAACTAAATATGTAACAATTCGAACATCCTCGCCCTCCATTCCTCTGTCCCTCCCCCATCACCCGCCCTCTATCCCCCGCTCCCCATTCCCGCCCTTTCTACCCCACCTCCCTCCCCCCCATTCCCCCGCCCTCTCCCCCATTCCCCGCCCCTCTCCCCCCCATTCCCCGCCCCTCTCCCCATTCCTCCGCCCCCCATTCCCCCGCTCCCTCCCCCCATTCCCCGGCCCT